GGACACACGTACACTGAGTTTGGCTAGCTTATTGCTCCACACTGGTTCCTGTAGGACAAAGCCTTTGGAAGTGACTTGTAATGGGTGGCTGATAGCGGATAGTGACGGCGATGGGCGAACGCAATCGAAACCATAGCTAGAGCCGTAGCTGCGTTAGAAATGATCCTATGGATGTAATTCCGGGATCACCAGATAGTGCGGGAACCCTTGATCGATCACCGTGTCACAGCAGTGAAAACTGTTAAAAACGACGGTGGCGCGTCTGGATAGAAGCACGGAGCGCGCTAAAACAACTTGGGTAGCACAAACCACTTTCCGCAGGAAATAATTCCGTAAAGATATGCCCACTGAACAAAGGTTAATCCTATTCGAATAAGTGTATGATGACTGCGCTAGGTGAAGAGGAAGACGTGAAACTCTGTGACAGAGGAGAGCAGTTTTACTACGCGACTAGTCAGGTGGGTATACACACCTCTTACCACATCCACAGTACCTAGTGGGCAACTAGGAATTTTTCCGGTGCGAGGCTTTAAGAGCCCCGACAGGTCATGGCAACTGCGGATGTCTAAAATGGCTTCAATGTATAGACTATTTGAGTTTTTTTATCTCGGTCTTTATATCCACAGATAGCCACTTGACATGGGCTCTTTGTTGGTATTTGTAAGCCTGTTATTCTTTTCTCCGCAGTTGCTTGAGTATTGGGGATGAAAATCTATCAATCCGAAGAGATGGTCTAAATGGGGCAATAAAGACGCACACAGAAATTTAGATAGTCTATGAGGTGTTTGTATTGAGCTGACAGATCTTCATTGGCGAAGATTGAGAAGTCGGTTGAACTGAGCGTTGAGTTGAGCACTACAATGTTTTCTGCTGAACAGTTTTGCCTCCTAACAGTTCTGAACGGCCTTCTTGTCATCGCAACGTAATTGATCTTACAGTAAATCTTTGGGCATATCTTCACGATGCAATGGTCCGAATTGCCAAGCGGGGCGCATCTTTGTGTGGAAACAGGTTATGTTTGTTAGTAAAAGCTCAATCTAAATGTGTGTCAAGTCTGGTGGGGAATTCTACTAAGTTGGTTAGGCCCAGCACTTTAATGAAGCTGTGTCCCCAGCAACGATGCAGAGGGAACATCCTAACTTCGGTTGTAATTCCGAAGCAAAGTGATCTGCAAACATTTTTATCTCTGACAGTGCAGCATTAGGCGTTATATAAACGTTTCCAACTACAACAGGCAGAAAACAACTAAGTTTTGGTTTACATTCCAATAGGTGGTAAGTTATTGAAGCCGTTGAGTAGGTGGACAGCTGTGAAACCGAGGCACACCATTATTCGCTAATGCACGTGACCACACCTCCTCCGCCTTGGTGAAGCTATCCTGGGCGGTCCGATCTGATATATCAATAGTCATCGAGTTTCATGACTCCAGCTTCAATGTCGAAATGTAGACAACTTTCTTATGACATCAATATACCTGCATCGGAAAACTCGGTTCGTTGTAAAAGATTGCTTGGTGAAAAGCTAGTGGATCTTGATTATGCGGACGCGATCTTCTTGCCTTTTAACGATGTTGCGGTGGTACCATCAACCCTGAATAACCTCACTAGAGTGGTCCCATTATTTGGTACGCGGTTTGGACCTTCAAAGTGCAAAGTGTTGCTACAGGAACAGCAGCCACCTGGCACTTGGTAGCGAGGAACTCGAGGTAGTTGAACAATTCACTTACCTTGGCAACTGCATCAGCAATGATGGGCGCATAAGCACAGAAACCAGTACAAGTACTACAAAAGCTAGAGCTGTCTTCTTGAAACTGCGACATCTCTGTCAACAGTAAGGAGTTTCCCTCCGTCTAAAAGGTGCTGTTTACAAAGCCACAGTAAGGGCCGTCCTAATCTATGGGAGTGGAACTTGGCCCCTTCAATCTGAGGACACCATGTCTTTGATCATCGTTGTCTGCGAAGCATTGCTGGTATCGGGTGGCACCAACTTGTCAGCAACAATGATGCGCGTAGGCTAGTACTAAGCATTGATAACCAAGCTAGTTCCCTGGAACAACAGATAGCACTGAATAAGTTGCGTTGGCTTGTGCACGTACCATGGATCCATGGCCCCCGCATACCTAGGAGAGTGTTGCTTAGTCTGTCAGATGTAGTGTGGCACAAGGCTCTAGGTGAACCGAAGTTGAGTTGGCAGTAGTGAATGAAATCACTGATGACCAAACTCGGTGATGTCGATGCGCCTCGCCTTTCAGGCTGCAGTCCCCCTGACGCGCCCTGTGCTTAGGTCTAGGCTTTACAGGACATGACTCTCAGTCGACACCAGTGGTGTGTCTGCTGCTGTCTCCTAGTCAGACCGCTTGTTTAGAGTGCTTGGGGTAATGGCTGATTATGACGCCGGACAGTGAAAGCCGCAAGGAATCTGTCTGGATGATGCCCCCCTATCTTTGCATGATAGCCACCTGTTTGTGACAGTATTCTGTTGGCAAGATGTAGGCACCTTGACCCTGAATGTTTGTTTAGAGCATTAAGGTTTTCCGGTAAGACCCCCTTCTCTTCCCTTTATCGTTCTTCGTTCCGTAGGTCGGTATGGTTGTGTGGCAACGATGCATCAGTTCAGATAACTTATGTACTGCTGTTGTTGTTGTTGTGGTTGCTGCTGCTGATGATGATGATGATTGCACGGTGTACAAGGCCAAATTTTTATGTCTATTGCTTTCAGAGAGCTATCAGCAGGCGACAGCATACAACCCAAACCACTCGCCAAGGATGGCTTTTATAAGTGTGCAATGAACCTCGTTAGTTTGGTGACGCGAAGGCCACAAAAGATGCACCTCTGAGCCGTGATATATAATCAACACACCCGGGTTTACATAAACCGGACGGTTGGCTACGTCTTATGCTGTGTAGTACGACTAATCGCTTTATAAGCATTGTCCGACACGCTCTAGCAAACGCAAGCATCGAAATTGGGACGGCGATACACGCATCCTATTCGGTATATTTGTCCGAGTTTGAGTCACCAAAGTTTTATGAAAAGACCCGAGGTCATGTATGCTACTTCGCAAAGCTAACTTCCGCCGTCTCAAGTGAGCGGTAATGTTAAGGATCAGTGTGGATATCCCCAAGTGCTTGTTATGCACACCCCGTCATCGGGATGAAGCGGGTAGACGTATGTGCATCATGCGACTCGCTGCGTCTTGCCCTCGTAGTCCAACAACTACAAGACGTTACTGCGTACCGGTGATGCTAATCCGGCATCGTGCGTTCATGACCGACACTTAGCCTATGTCAGTGGTCGGACGCCTTATTAATTTAAGCCACAGATGCAATTCTTATCCATTTGCTTGCATGACCAATAAATTCTAACTAAGTGGAATACGAAAGCCGACTATAGGGTATTATGATCGAACTGAGTGAGTGCTGGTCGGCGGAAACTAAAGTTACGGGCCAGCTTGTAGAAACTTCGGATCTAAATACAGACAGCTTATTTTTCGACAACGTGAGATACAGCTAATTAAAGAATTGTGCATATCACTTTTGGTCGAAATTACAGTGTCGTGAAAAAATCGTCTAATGCAATTAGCAAAAGTGAGGCATAAAAATGTATCCGGCGGCCCATTCAACAGTAGGTTGAACCTTCACAATGAATGACCAAGAGACTAGTTGGTTTCAGTTTCATGATGAAGGTATTTCGATAGATCAAACTCCGGTGTGCTTTGAGAAATTCGAGAGTAAACTAGTTATTCATATATCATAGCAGGCCTCGTTCTGCGTAGGAGAAGAGTCGATACGCTTAATAAGGATTTGAGGCACTTTTGAGTAGGTTCATTGCGGCTGGACTCAGTCAAACAGTTACCACACATCCACGAAAGTGCTACACGCCGTTTCGTGCTATTGCAATTCGTCAGTAGTGCATGTTTCCCGGATCCGGAGACATGAATTACTCTTACAAATCAGCGAGTTAAGTTAGAGTCATGGGCGACAGCGGCGGACAGCCATGAGTTATTTCTAACTGTGATATAGCGCGGCTTATACTTCACTCTCATTCAGGTTAGGAACGTGCCGAGGACAGGGCTAGTTTCCAGCGTTACGACTACTTTTGCAAGCCATCCCCACTCGAGGTGGTATGAAAGCTGTTAAAGCGCTTACCGATTAGAAGTTATGGACACTAGCCCCGTCCTCTGCAATTTCCCAACACACATGACAGTAGAGGATGAGCTGCGCTATATCAAAGTTAAAAATAAGTCGTGGCTGTCCGCCGCCGTCGCTCATGATTCAGTGACTTAAACCGTTAACTTGTAACAGTAATTCATGTGTTCGGAGCCGGTGGATGAGCGCTATTGACGAGTCCCAACAAGACGAAAGAGCCGCGTAGCACTTTTCTGGATGTATGACAACTACCTCAGTGAGCCTAACTGTGAGGGCCCTTCACAAAAAACAATAAACATACTACTAGCTAATACGTGAGGTGTGTTTCTCGACGACAGTTAGGTGTGAAAGTAGAACCCGAGTGACGTGGATGTGATCCGATATCTGTTTGATGGAGCATCGTCACTAATCCCAGGAAGAACGGAAAGAAAAGGCAGCCCCATTGTCGAGAGCTGAATCAGTGTGATACAATAGGAAAGATCAACCATGATTCCTGTTCACTGGTTACTTGCGCATGCGAGCAATAATTGGTGAATAAACCACAAAATAGGATGTTTCTCGGGGGAGCTGTGTAAGCAGATGCATTCTGAGTAAGCAAGAAAACGGTAGATAGTTTACAGAATGTTCCGATGAAAATGAAATCGAAAGTAAAATAGGACACAAAGAAACAGGGGAATGGAGGAAGAACTGGGCTGGTGATCGAACTTAACATTCATTCGTTGAAACAGCACTGCTAAATACCGTTCGGATTCGTCTCAATTGTCATTGGTTTTTGTTTCAGTTTCTTCGGGAGGAGAATTCACCGCATCCAAGTATGGGTACAGCACAACGGAAGAAAGCGCCATCACACATATGCTGCGGCAGCCTAATACCATGATCTTGGCAGCTGCGGCCATTGTTGTCGGGGTTTTAGCACTGGCAATCTGGGCAGCTTTCATGCGCCAGCGTCAGTTTGATGATACAGAAAAGCTAGCAATACGGAAGGCAGAAGATGGAGACCAAGCAAATCAGTACTGCAATGAAAATGCCCTGGGAGTGACATGTTCAGTGGGGTCCAGTGAGCGCATGGGGGTGCCGATGACCATTTCCGCAATTCGGTAAGTTGAAAGAGGGAAGTAAAACGGCGTTCAGTCTATTGGCAAGTGATGGTCCATCATGTCTTGTGATGAAGTTCGGAACCCAATGCTACATTAAGCATGGAATTGCCTGAATTTTGGCTGTACCCAGAAATGTAATGAATGTCACCAGATCAGTGTAGCTTATGAAAATTAGAACGACCAGGGTATACAAAAGGGTTTGAGGTAGCTAGGGCAATAGTCGAGTAAACTGTATTTGACAGGAGCTGAGAAGCGTAGTGTAATGTGGTCGTTGTATTGAGCTAAGATGCCAAGTGAATAACGCACTAAATCGAAAACATGGATTATTCAACAAATAGTAACAATGGTGTAATACGAGTGAAGAAGCTAAGGTTTCACAAGTCCTGTAGGATGGACTGCCTGAAATACATAAGTACGAAAGAATGTGACAGGAAAGTATACCGCGCAACTGTAGACTCACCATAAATAAAAGTTACACACATATAAATCCGTGTACTCCGAGATCAAAAGGGTTGGTGAGCGCAACGTTTGTCTGCTTCTTGTCGGCACTCGAAGAGTGGGATTCACGTCACGTAATGCGAATGGCATAATGCGTTGTCATCGTTTAAAGCAATCGAATTGGGAAACCCCAATCTCGACGGAAACAGCGTACGTCTCCCTAATAGCGGGAATGTTGGCCTAAAAGAAGCCAACACGTCCGCGTAAGTTTCACTAACGAACAAAATCCACGGTGCGCCCTCAAAAGAACGCGGGACGGGTAACCTGGGTATCAATAAAGCCCAGAATTGCATGGGGAAGTCGACGGCAATGTTTTCAGACAAAGATCAACAGGCACAGCATAGGTTTAGCAAACAAACAGAACACAAGCGCGTTAAGCAAAAACATTATCTGTCGATGACAAACATATCGGAGTGCATAACCAACACAAATACACGTTTCGGACTAAACTGTTACAGGGTAACGCTCGTCCCCATGCTTTTTCCGAAAAAATAAATAAAAAAACAAACGTTTTATTCTCGGCATGACAAGGCATGCTTGCAAAGGCATGCGAATGACACTACATAAACGTACGGTCTGTAAATGTACCAAAAGTTCGCAATGATCAATGATGAACCCTTAATCAGTAACATACTGGGTCTATGTGTGCATGTAAATAGGTAAGGCTGTGCCCGATGCTGAGGCTGATGTCGCATTCATGATGCGTCTTCACCGCAGTTGGGCTAAACCAACTTACACATAAATTAGGTCTTTTTAATGTGGATACAATGCATTACATTGTATTTTTTTGTTCTTCAAACTTGATAATCTTCTCCCAATTTACACACGTCGCTCATGCAAATTGTGGTAAACTTGCGTAATTTTATCGCGTGGTATTTTTTAAAATAACCTTCGGACATTTTGTACTTATCGCGTATTCACATTTAACACTTTCTTCCATATGCTCATTTAGTGAGTATTTACGTCGTCATATGCGTTTACTTTATTCGACATCGGTATTTCGAATGATTGGCTGTTGTCTGACATCCCAGGTGTCGCTGCGCTTGATGTGCATGTTGACAAGGTGCCTACCTGTCTATTACCCACTACCTCGTCCATACTGGCTCCAGGAGACAGTTGGTCGTTGGTGAAGGGGACGGGATGCATGGTCCTTGTGACCGTGCTGGGCTCGAGGAGTGGTTCCATGCAGTCAGTGTGGAGCGGACTACGGTCCAGCCACCGCCTTGTGTGCACTTGATTCCATAAATACAGCGTGCTTGTGTTTGCCTGTGAAGGAGTGTGGGGCGGATCTGTTGAGGACACTTGGCACCCATCCACATGCCTCCCGGTCTTACTCTTTCGGGTTTACACTGGATATGGGGTGTGTGGATGGAGCTGTGGGTGGTGTAGCACAAGTCACCCATGGTCCCCCTGTAGGCGAAGGCGTCTCGTGATTGTCCCTGTGGAGGCCATAGTGACAGGCAAGCCCGGAACCGGATGCCGCCAACCAGGTATGTGGACAGGGTGAGTGAATTTGTTAATGTGACTCTGGATTCGTGATTTTGTTAGCCATCTCAGGAAGGGATCAAAGGAACTCTTCGAACTGGATGATGTTCGTGAAGTATGAAAGATCCTCCGGAGAGTGAAGAGGCAGTGACTTTATTTGGTGGCGAGTCACATCCGCCACGTCAAAGTGCCGTTAAACGGAAGTTTGTGGCTTTTATAGTGAAAGCGCTTGGATGGCGAAAACCCACCCCGTCCTGGAATCCGAAGACCCCAAGGCTGCTTGGGAAAAGTGAAGGAACCGATAAAAGTCAGCAGGGATCTATCGGTGAATAGCTGCGAGGCTAATGCCCATTAATTTGTTAAGTGAGCCTTTACAGTTTTATACATGGGACCAGAAGTCGACAAAATACCAGAATGAAAGCGCTTTGGTTGTAAACCATACTTTGCCAACTACGGAGGCGCTATAATGCATCGGTAAGTGGCCACAAGCTTCCAGAAAAGACTGAGGTAGTGCATCGAGGTCAAGTCCCTTGTCACAGTTCATGTCAGATTTCAATGATTTTTGACAATCGTGAGTGAGTGACAATCGTGGTAAGTGAACGATAACGTGGTGCGATGATTCGTCTGCCTCCATGATACAAAATGCTACCTTGGGTGGTACGGCCCAGTTTGCTTTAGATTCAATCATACTAGATAAGTCAATGGCTGTAAGTCAGACAAAAGACTTTTAGTAAACTCTACAAATGATGCTGAGAAGAGGTTAATGACCCTCTTGGGGTTAAACTAAGTTAGGAAGGACAACGGTTACGGGGTACCGGGTTTCTGTTCAACTAAGAACCAAAAGGATCGGAGAGGACTGGCCATTTAATCTGGTTTTCTACCACTCGCCTCAAACAGGGTGATCCTATGCCAACAGGACGTGGATCCAACAATATTCAAGCGCAAGTGAATGTGACTGAAGCTGCACACTTTGTGATGGCTGAGAAACACGGATAACGAGTTTCGAAACCCAAAATTGTGTGCAGCCAGTCTCGAAACAATTCCTGATGGGATTAGGTTTTCACCTGCTACCAGTTGCTCAACAACAAGCAATCATTCGTTTAACCATCTTCCTTGAGGAGCAGGTTAATAAATAAACAACAGAATAAATAAAGAGTTTATTATCGAATGCATCGAGGCATACCAAATAAGGCATGATCAAAATTTTATAGGCAAATTTGTGTACGAACAGGCAGGGTGCTTTACATGCAATGGGAAGATGGCTGAAAGGTATAGAATTCGCAGAAATGAGAAAAGTACCGGTAGGACAAGATCGTTTTACCGGGCTAGATCCTGCTTTTGCTTTGGAAATACTGTGTTATACATGTTTGCTCTGTGTGAATGTTGCACCAATACTTTGCTTTCGGTGTATTTTGCCTTCTGTACGAATTTGGTGGATCTTCCCCGGCTACTGTCACAGATCTCACTGATTGGCCCAACTGCCGTCTGTGTCCGCAATCTTGGATTTGTTCCACAGCAATTGAACAGGTATCTGCCAGACCACCAGCTTAACCGACGGCGTTCGGATTCAGCATACCATTGTAGACGTTGCAACGAACGGCTTTCGCAGATCTGATAGTCACAATGGCACGTACTGGTTGCCCATGGAAAGCTAAACCCAAGGCTTCCAAAACAAACGTTGGTTGTGGTATAGACAGCTGTGCAAAACTTGTGGGATTTGGAATAGAGTATAGAAACTGCCGAAAATACTTCCATTCTCGATGTGCTCGCCTTAGTCTCAACCAGATAAAAAAGCTTAATAGTACGGTTGATTCACCCTGGTTCTGTACTGAGTGTACGTCTTCTCGACCCACCAGATGTATAACTGTGTTGGCGCAGAAGTACGATCCGCTGACAAAGATTGTAGAGCAGGCAGAAGCCGTGAAAGCTATCCCACATGAACCAGACAAATCAGTGCCTCGAACTCGATGCTCAACATCAAGCTCCAATTCAGCACAGTGTAAGAGTAACGATCCAGAGTTAGCCATCCCGACACTAGCGCCTGCTCATAAAGGTGCGTTCACCACACATTCTTCAACAGAATCATCCGCCACACTAAACACTGTTAGAGGGCCGACAACCTACGCGTCTGTTGTTGCTACCCATATGACGGAGGCACCTCACATCGCGACCTCGCCCGCTGCAAACGAGTTACTACTGCCAATACCACCACGGGACTCAAGACCACATCATTTGTCCAACCGAAGAAAGCAGCCACTGGTCCCTCCAAAAAGGAGAACATGAAACACTACCATAATTCTCTAACTGTTATATGCTCCAATGAGACTGAATCCGGGGCAAACTCCATAAAAGATAATACAGTAGATGCCAAAAGCAGTGGGACTCCCTGTGTCAACTAATAGGGGTTCAAGCTAAACCAGTCAATGGAACAATGGAACAATGGTATATGACGGGTAAAAAAGCATACACTTAACGAGTCCCGCAGGTTGGCAATAGAAATACTAACAAATTGGCAAACCACATAAGTGGTTGAAGTAAGGAGTGTCAGTGAGATAAAAGGTAGAAGTATAACAGTTTTTGGGGGATAAAGTGGTACGACGCAAAACTGGCTAAGAAATTGTTATCGTTGGTGATGGTAGCAAATAAAAATGGAGTACTCACCGGTTCGCACAGATTTACGACCGTGAATTCGGGGTATAAATCCAAAGAGGCTGGTCAGCCTAAATATATACAAGCGTTTTCGTTCATAAAACAAAGCGCAGGGGGCTCAGTGCGACGTCCAATCGTTTTTTAAACGTATCTAATGTGGGGGCACAAACAACTGAGTTTGGAAGGGCGTTCCAGGGCCCGCAGACCCGGAGGGAGAAATAGGTTCTCCGACAGTCTAGACGACTGTACTGTTGGCTCAGCTTTAAACTGTTACCGCGAAGGTTAGTGTTCGGGCTGAGCTTCAAGAGGTGGCGGCATACGTGACTGGGATCGCTCAATATCTGGTACACTAGTATGAGGTCTCCACG